ACACAACACACACACACACACACACACACACACACACACACACACACACACACACACACACACACACACACGCTACTCCTAGCTACATCATCAAAGAAAGGTAGTGCATTAGAACAGGGTAAATGATGCTTCAGTGACATACAATTCCAATTTTTCAGAGTGGCTTTTTGATAGATGAAAGATTTATTTTGCTGCTCTTTGTTAAGGGGCAACATCTAATTCCTCTTCCCTTTAATCTGAACTGGGCCTTCATGATTTGTTTTAACAACAGCATATGACAGAAGTGACATTTTCAGGTTTCTGAAGTGAGTTCTTAAGCACTGTAGCTTCCATCAGGGCCTCTGTGAACTCTCACTCTAGAAAAATTAAGTATAGCCCCCAAAGTGCAATGCTGAAGAAAGCCCAAGTAGCCAAGTAGAGAGACTGCTTGGATAAGAGAGATGTCTATCAGGCTCCAGCTGTTCCAGCCATCCTGTACCAGGTGCTAGACATGCAAGTGCAAAAGACTTCAAAGTCTTAGCCTTAGCCTCCAAGTGCCTGCCACCCTATAAGGAACCCAGGGAAAAACAGCCCAGCTAAGCCTATCAACCACTCAGCACTGTGAGACACGATATTGGAGAGGTTAGTTATACAGCAATAGCTAACCTGAATAGGCTTATCACAATAAAAATGTATTTCTTGCCTATGAAGAGTCCATTAAGAATACAGGGAACCAACTGTGGCAGTGGGCCCTAGACAAAGGCCTTCCCAGGGTATGTGGTCAGTAAGGATTTTGCGCGGGCTTCAGACAAAGACATTCCTGGACTATGTGGTCAGCAAGACCTCCGTGTTTAATATTTCCAAATTCCTACCTCACCCAGGAGCCAGTCAGGAACTGGCACAACGACCACATGTTCTAATAATAAATCTTAGCTGTCAACCTAAAAAACTTCAGGGTATATAGCCCCGAGTCCCGCCTGACTCGGGGCTCAGCCTCTGGATGTGAATCCGCTGAGCCAGTGCTGGCATTAGTAAACGTTGCTTCCCTCGCCTTGGTGTCCTGTCCCTTTGTTTGGGTTCCCTGCAACACAACCAGTCAGGGCAACTATTCTCCATGATCTATCTCAGCAATTCAGGCCTCTCTGGTCCTGTAGGCTCCCAGATAATGGCCTTTTACCTAAAAGTTCCACAGCCGGAGAAGGGAACACTAGAGCTTCTTGCACAAGTGATTAAATGCTTTAACCTGCAAGTGATATACACACATATCCCTTGTGCTTGCAGCCCATTGGCCAGAACTTTCACATTGGTAGGCCTAACTTTAGAGAGGGTATGGAAGCATACCCCTCTGTAGGCTGGGAAAGAGCAGAGAAGTGGATATGCATCTACCACATTCATCCTCCCTCTCCTGCTATTGCCTCACCTCATCAGAATCCAAGGGATTCCTTTTCCCACTAGAAGTCATGTATTTTTGTGTAACCATAACTGCCCCTCAGTGCCACCATTGGAAACTACTTTAGGGACAGACAAAAGCTTTTTCTCCCAGTGCCAGGTACTAGTCTTCTTAAAACTTTAATTTCAGTCTCCAAAAATGAGAAGGACTGAGCACTGATCTAATTACCTATTGCTTCATAACCTATTACCCCAAATCTTAACGGTTTAAAACAACATTTATTATTTCACAGTTTCTGTTGGTTGGAACACCCAGTTAAGCTGTTCCCTCGGGCCCTGGGTTACTGTTAAGGCTCAGGCATCTCAAGAGTAGGGGGAAGATGTGCATCTAGTTCACTGTTGTGGTTGTTCACAAGATTCAGTTCTTCAGAGCTGTTGGACTGAGGTCTCAGTTCATCACATGTTTAGGGAATGGTGGACAGCAAAGTGAGCAAAACTGAAGCTGGATTGTGAAGGACTTTGTGACTTTGACTTTAATTTGGGAAAATAGAGAGCCTTAGAAATATTATAGCATGTTGTTGCCTCCAAATAATAATATATAACCTTTATTATATCATACCATGAGCTAGACATTGTGTTTATCTCATTGAATCTTCACAGCCATCATATGCAGTGTGTTCTATTATTACATTTATTTAAACAGAAGCTTGATGTTAAGTATTGTAGTTTTAGCCCCAAGTCACAGAGGTAGGAAGTGTCAGGCTGCGATGTTAATCATGGTTTGAGAGCAATTGCTCCCTGTCCCTCGTCTAGACTGCCCCATTGCAATTTTTGAACGCACATTTTGTGTTAGATATAGGAAAAGCTTCAGAAATCAGTTTCTTTTGTGCTTCAGATATACTCTTTTTATTTTTAATTTTACAAATTTTCCAACATACAGAAAAGTACTGATAGATACAATAGCAAAAATTAATTGTCATTGTGCCATTTTTGTTCTGTCCATCCTCCTTCCACTTCCCAAATGTTATTGCTGGAGTAGTTAAATGTTTTTTTAAAATTCTAGACATCATATTATTTCAATAATAAATATTTAAGTATCTGTAATCAATAAAATTTTAAAAATATATAGTCATAACACCATTATCACACCCAACAAAACTAACAGTAATTCCTTAATATCAGATCCTATTTTTAAGAACATTTTTAACCAATCACATTATCATATACAAAAGCTGTACTGAATAGAATGATAGAATTCCCAATTATGAGTCCTTTCTCTTTATAAGCACAATAAAATATTTTCTATTGAGTTAATAGGATTAACCAGTATACAATAACAGTGACTCTTAGTAAAATTTATTGCAAGGACATTTTCCAAATTTACAATAGTTTGTAAATTTGAGTCAGATTTGGATAAGGGCAGGTTCCACATAGAATTTAGCTACTACTAATAAACTAATTCAAGTAAGACCTTGCCTGAAGACAAATTAATCTTTCTTTCCTATAAGTGCTGATTGGAGACTGAGCTCCTGCCCTGCAATACTCTTATTGACAGTTGTATAGCTGTCTTTGTTTTAAGCCTAGCACAGAAATCACATTTTGGCCCATGATATATTGATCACATTACTCCGTGTTATGCTTTGAACACCAAATAAATGTTTATAAAGCACACTTTGAAAAGCTCACCAACCCTCTAATTGTAATTCAGTCATACACACGAAGGGTGCAGTGGCCTGGAGGTACAGATGCACCTAATACATATCTGAAAGGAAATGTGGAAATCATTTAAATCTACTTTCATTTTAGATCTGACAAAACTCTAGTCGAGAGAAGTGAGAGGTGCATTTAATTGCAACTGGCAATATTCTTATTAACTGGCTCATTTTATCTATTAGTACCCACGTTTAAAAAGGTTTTATAAAATTAAAATTATTTTTCTAAAAAAAATACAACTGCATAGTCTAGTTTCACTATTACCACCAATTAGGAAGTGATATTTCAATAAACACATGCACAGAGTACTTTAATTTTCCTCTCCCTTTCACCAAGAGATGCCCACTACATCCCTCCATTTTTCGTTAAGCAGTTTTTTTTGCAGTCCACTGCTGTTGTTGCTACTACCAAATTTTTAAATTACAGGCCGTTTCTCTATAGAAAACCCACACGCGCCAAACCTCCTTACTGGGTATCCTGAGCACGTGCGGTGTACGTTCTAACTAAGGCAACATCAGTCAGATCTTCTGTTTATTTTCAGCGTAGTGGTCTGGAAGAAAGGGCGGCCGTTGCTAGGCAACCGACACCCCGGGCAACAACCAGTCGAGGCGGGAGGGGGCGTGGCCTTGGCGGGCCTAGGCTGATAAGAGGCGGTGCCCGCCACCCGCGCAAGGAAAACGGCCAGTGTGAGCGGCCAGGCGGAGGCGATCCCCACCTGCTACCCGGGAAGGCCCAGTCGGGCCGGCGAGCGAGGCTGCGAGCCCGCTGCTCACTTTCCCACACGCCCTGCTGAGGAACCTTGCTCCGCGCCCTAACATGGCCGGCGGGCGCTGCGGCCCGCTGCTGACGGCGCTCCTCACCGCCTGGGCTCTCGCGGCGGCGTCAGAGGCCGATCCCAAGCAGGCCGCGATGCCGGAGGAGCAGAGCTTGGTGCTGCCCATGACCGCCTCCAACTGGACGCTGGTGATGGAGGGAGAGTGGATGCTGAAATTGTGAGTGTGCCTGCCCGTCCCGCACGCCACACTGTCCTCGCAGGCGCTGCCCTCCCAGAGCCCAGCGGGCCGTTCCCGAAGCTGCACTACCGGCTGGGCTCGACCTCAGGCCCCGGGCTGGTTCTGCTACCGACCTGCAGCACCGGGGCCCGGCCATTTGTGCTGCGCATGCGTGCCAAGCCCTCCGCGGTGACAGCTGAGATTAGCGTACCCCCTCCACCCTCCCGCATTGCTCGCCCTCTACTTTAGGGGAAAGTTTTACGGGTGAGGTGGGTGAGCAGTTTACCAAAGGGAGAAGGGGGAACGGAGACAATCTGCAAGAAAATTGTGTGCTTTTGATATAGGTGTGTAGGTAGAGGAGAAAGGGCGGTCATGCAATGACATTTTTGTGCTGTACAGATACATAGCGCAAGGTAGGCAATGCATTTGTTGAATGAATAATTGCAGCACGGTGAAGGGCGGAACAGCGTGTATAAAGTATGTTAGTCTTCATTTTGATGACCCCCAGATGTCACCGTGAAAAATAAAACAAATATGGGTGACTTTCAAATTTTAAAACACGATTTCAAATAAATGTTGATAGTTGTAATATTTAGATGTAGGACTTCCTGGGTATATGATATAACTTAATTGTGCTAATGCCATAAGCAAAAGAACATTAGTAAATTGTTGCTTTTGAACAGTAGAAGGTAAATCGTGGAGAGTGCCTTTGCTTGACGGAGAAGGGCAAGCACAGTTTTGAGTTAGGAGCAGGCAAGGGATTGTTCATCGTAGATTAAAATTAACTTCTAGGAAGAAAGTGACCATTTGAAAGAAGATATGAAGTAGTCAGTGGGCAGATGCCTGGATACGCTTGAACCACCATCGTGGTGGGCTTGCAGAGAGGAGGAAGAATGGAGAAATGATCACTGACCCCGAATCTGCTTAGCCTGTGGTCTCATCAGTATTCATACTTGACCACTACTATTTGATAATTAATTTTTCGTTGATGACACAAAGGAAAGAATTGGATCTTTCCTTTGTATGTCCACTACCAAATTTTGAACGTTTCAGTTTAGATTGCGAGCAGATGCTTATGGAGCACCCCACATTGCATCAGGGGCGGAAGTTGTGTCACTTAGCAGATTACATTGTTGGAAGAACATAATGGACATTACCTGTCGAAACATTCATTTACCTTTTGGTCAGAAGAAGGAAATATTTGTTCAAAGAAGTGGATACGTTAAATCTCAAAGTAAATGCCTTTGGTATTACAATAAATGAATGAAATTATTAAAGAGATCTGTAGACATGAAACACTTATTAAAATAAGCTACTTTGGATGGAGGTGAGGAAGTCATTTTCCATTTAAGAGAGAAGCTTTTAAAGTAAATGGAACTTTACTCAGGTCTGTTATGTTTGTAATAGTTCTAAGAGTTTTAGAGAGGCTGCATTTTGTCAGTGCCACAGAAAGTTTTTTTTCAGCAAGTGCTTACAAAATGGAGTTTTTCTAGTAGTCTGTGTTTTTAATTAAAACTGAGTTTGTGTATGTACATGATGAAAGTCAAAGCGGAAAGGCCTCAGCTCCTTTATAGTTCATTTTGGAATAGCTATTGTTTTTTTTAAGTTCAAGAACTAAGAACACTAAAGCTGAGGTAAGTATAAGCCAAGTTAAGCTTATAAATGAGCACCAGTCAACAATTCCTATATGTGGCGGTGTTGACGGTTCACATTTTACTTCATAAATGTACAAGCCTAGGTATAGTAATCAGTTGCTCCAAGCTTGTCATGTGTCCGTTGTATGGAATATATTCGGACTGTGATGCACGATAACCCGGAAGTAAGCTGTGTAGACAGTGTAATCATTTTAGTAGAACTTCTGTCTTGATCCAGTAAGTACACTTCAGAATATGAAGCAAGGCTGGAAAGGGAAGAGGATTTGCATCAAGGCACCCAGCTTTCTGTACACCGGAGCCGAGGTGCTCGTCCTGCAGCAGTATTGTGGCTCTCATCTGTTTGTGATACTCCCCCTCTTTCCTTTGACAAAACCTAACACATTAAAAAACATAAAATTCATTATATTCTCAGCACCACTCTAGGCCTACCATAAACGTCTAAGAATTCAAACAGCCAATAAGTTATCAGATTTTTTTTCCTGGTGTATTTAACAGAAAAAAAACCAAAATATGTTAATACTAGCTCACATGTTAATGCTCTGTTCAGGCTAAATGGTCATAATAAATGGAGATTGTTAGGGATCCACATTGTTAGATGATGTATTTAACTTCTTTAAAGAAGCAAGTTAGGCTTTCTGATAGTTATCAAAAATTTGACATTACTTTGAATGACAGTTATTTATTTATTTGCTTATATGCTGCCTCTTTTCTGGGAATTTTTTTTTTTTTTTAAGATTTTATTGGGGAGTTGGGGGTTAGGAACAGCATTGGGGAATCGGGGGAGGGGAACAGACAAGTTGCTGTCCTTTTGCTCTTCAGTCTAGTTATGGAGGATGTCGCTTCACTGGCCCATGTTGGTATGATCATTGCGCTCTTTCCGGGTGACGCAGATCGGTCGCCAGCCTCTGGATGGCCGCTCATGGTGGCTGCCAGCTACTCACGGTAGCTCACTGCAGTCCCGCTGCAGCCTACACCATCTCTGGTGACTCACGGCAGCCCAGCTCCAGGTCGAGCTGTTGTTCACCATCTTAGCTGTAGAGGGCACAGTGTCACTGGCCCTTGTGGGATCCAAACCAGGGCCCTGCTGCTCAGAGCTGGTGCTCCCAAGCCAACTCTTAAGCAGTGCACCGCTCGGTTGGCCTACTCGGAATTTTTTATATCCTACCTTATACAAAGCTCCTATAGTGTAATTCCTGGTTATACTGGTATCAATTTATTTTTTAAGGATCTAGCAATGTTTGTCTGCTCTGAGACATGAAAGCTTCTATTGTGAAATTTAACTTTTTTTTTTATCTCTCCGTCAGTTTTGGGGGGAATCCTTGCGAATTTCAGTTTTAGAAAAGCACTTCTCTGCTAAGGAGAAATAGCAGTTAAAAATATATTCGTAATTCTGAAACCTTTTTTAAGATCTGAAAAATTCTTCTGTTACTACATATTTACATTTTCTTCAATATTGTGTACTTACTGTATATTTTGTTTTTTTATCTTCTTGTTTGTCGTCATATATTGTTTTATAATTTTTACCCCTATTTCTGCCATGTTGCTATAATTGGCTTGATGTGCTTTTTTCATCCTTAACCTCTGATGAAAAGGTTGCTCTTTCTCAGGGTTAGGAAAGGTTATCTAATCTTTAAAATGCCTTCAAATGTTTTCTTAATTTCCATTGTTTCATAGTATCCTTCATTCACTTACTTTGTAACCTTGTGCTATTTTAAACACTTGCTTGGTTCCTATTCTATCAGTTTTTGAGAATACTACTTTTGTTCTTTTGCAACACAAAAATATGGAATGTAATACATTCTGTATACTGTTCTGGTGCCCTTTTTCCCCCAAAGAAATATGAAGATATCTAAATAGCTTAATTGTAACTCTCCTACTTTTAAACTGATATCCAGAGGAAAAAAAGTCTTTGGATTAAATTACCTCTGTAAAGTATATAGATCTTTATAAAACACTACTCTTTCTGACTTTACTCTTGGGATGATCATGTTTCAAAATTGAAATTAGTCACCTGGTGATGGAGGAAAGCCTCATTTATTCCCCGAAGACCACTAGGTTTTCATTTTGTTTTCCAATATTCTTATACCTAGAGAGAACATGTTCAACATCATTGCCTTAATTTACCAGTGTCAAATAGTTAAAATTTCTTGCAATTTAACAGATTATTTTGATTTGTTGATTGAATGTTTCAGATAGCCATTAACTGCTTGTTATGTGTCTAGTTCGGGTTTGGGGACCCAGGAAGATAAAGATGAATGAGCTATAATCCTTGATTTCAGGGAATTGACTGTCTACTGTGCTCTGAAGGAATTAAATATTATATGTAGCATTCGTTTATTTAGCAACTAGTTACTGAATGCTTCTTGTCTGTCAAGCAATCAGTAGTGGTTCTCACCAGGTCACTATTAATGGCATTTTGGGTTGGACGGTTCTTTGATATATATGGCCCACACATTACAATACAGAACCTTTGGAGTCCCTGGCCATTACATTACATTTTAGTAATCATGTGACATCAAAAAAAATTAACATCCTCCATCCTTTATGCACATTTCCAGGCCAGGTGCTTCTTGTTGAAAACCGCTGCCCTAGATATTGTTATGGGTATTCAAAAAAATGCAAAAGAGGAGCTCATAAGCTAACTAAAAGTATTGGATTTTAGATTGTTCCTACAAAGGGTATTCATCCATATCACCTCCATCATCATCAGTATAAATTGTTGTCATCATCATCATTTTAATAACAGTAAACAGTTACATTGCTTCCATCACATTTTCTGAATGCTGTGTTATCTGATCATCCTAGCAGTCTAGGAACAGGGAGATGGCCTTTGGACAGATGCAGAATTCTCATTCTCATTCATTGGGAGAGATGAAACATTGAAAAGATTAAAGCTTTGGCCAAGGCCGGACCCTTAGTAAATTGTGAGCAAAGCAGAACTAGAATGCAGGCCTCAGCTTTGCACTTCCTGATGCAAGCCCGAGAGTAGTGTCGGGGGGCAGGGCTCGCTGAAGGAAGGCACAGAATTGGGCTGACTCATGCTTAGGCTCTCAGCTAGCCAGCACCCTGGCCCAATAAGGGGAGGTCTTTACCCTGTGGGATTCAGAGGCCTACCCTTGGTTTTACCATTTCTCTAGTTTCTGCAAAATGAGGAACATTATTGCTATATGCTCATTTCTGACCCGCCTCAGCACTCAAACAGGTGCTCTGCCTTCCCCAATCCCCCCACCCTACAGGAAAATTGTTTTTCACTGTGCCTTCTTTGTAACTAAATGGCCCATATCACAACTTGTAATTATAAATTAATTGATATGTTTTTGTACTAGGTTTTTGTCTGACTCCTCC